CACCATGGGACATCTGAGGCTCTAAGAGGTGGTGCCCTGGTGGTGCAGTGGGTTTTGCATTGGGCTGTGATCCACAAGGTCAGCACTTCAAAACCACCAGCTGCTCCAAGGGAGAACAAGAAGGCTGTCTTCTTCTGTAAAGAGTTACAGTCTTGGAAACGCACAGGGGCAGTTCTACCCTGGCCTACAGGGTCCCGGTGAGTCGGCGTTGACTTGATGCCAATGAGAAACTCCTGGGAAAGCATATTACCACCTCTTTCTTCCTCAGAGCTGCCTGCGTTGTTTTGAGCCGAGCAGCAGACCAGCCACCGGGCCTGCTCGAAGGTGGTGCTAATGGAGTGGCTTTGGATGCATGTGACGGGGGCAGGAGGAGAGCCAGAAAAATGGAGTGGAGCTGTTGCTATTGACTGGGAAGAGAACCGGGATCCTGGGTTCATTGCCTACAGGAAATGGCTACCCAGCAAATCTGCCCTATACACTTTGGAACCTTGGTGGGAGTAGAGCTGGTGGGGGCAACTGCTGTGGAGGTTGGATGGTTCAGTGAAGAGTCAACTGTAGAATTGCCACCCGGCCTGCTGATCTGGTGTGGCCATGTGCTGCACAAGAAATGAAAACAGCGACCCAGACAGGCATGCGTACGACACCATGCAGAGCGGTGTGACCCACAATCGCCCAAAAGCGAAAACAGTAGGAATGTCCATTGTAATGGCTGATGCTCTGCGTCCGTGAGACTGGGCTATGATTCTCGGTGGTTTGGTAGATGCTGTGCCATCATACGCCTTTTATGATATGATGTGAGAAGCCAGTTAGTTCAAAGGAAAGTTTTCTTGGAGGTGTAATTTGCTACCAACAGATATAGATGTTCTGCTAAGTCTCAGTCTCAGGCCGTCTTTTCTCTCTCTCTCTGCCCTGAACTCTTCTTGAAGCCCAACTGGCTTGTTCTGGAGACCTAAGCCTGCAGAAGTCTCCGCATACTGTGAACTCACCATACACTGCAGCCTTCTTCTCCAGCAGAGGTCCACAGCCTGCCACCTGATCTGCAGATTGGGGGGTTAGTCAGTCTCATGCCACCACTGCCAGCAGGGCTTGTCAGCCTATCATCTGCCTCACTGATTCAGAACTTTGCAGCCCCCACAACTCAGGAGTTATTTCCTCATGATGGGCTCAGGGTGGCAGCAAGTGTGAGGATGGGGCAGGACCAGGCAGCTGTTTGGTCCTGTTGTACACAACAGGGTCGCTCTGAGTCAGGACCGACTCCACAGCGCCAAACAACGACAAGGGAGTGGAAACAGGAAAGACAGGGAAGAGGGGAGATGATCAGTGTTGCATTGAGGGGCTTGCAATGACCGAGATGAAATAGAACGTATATAAATTGAATGTAAGAAAGAGGGAAAAAGTAATTAAACAAGTGTCCCATCTAGCAACCGGTTATGGTTGGGGTGTGGGGCACCAGTGCCACCTTAGAACTCAACCACCGGCCGGGAGAACATGGCTCCTAGAGCACTGGGCAGCAAGGACTTGCTATGAGTGTCCACGTGCTCGCTTCATGAGTTGGATGAAGACAAGAGAGTGAAGGTAGCAGCAGGGTCGGATGAGGTTTCGAAGAGAGGGGTCAGACTCCATAATGGGAGGTCAAGGGCTGATCCCAGGTTAGTGTACCGGGCAATGATTAACCATGGGAGACGCTGTCTCCTCCAATTAGATTCCATCTTGATAAATAACTCAGTGATAAGACGTGGGGAAAGCCAGTGGCTGTGACTTCTGCCGTTGAGATGGCTGGGGGACTCTGGGTTCTCATGCGGGTGCTCAGCGGACTGCTACTCTTGCTGTGTGTCGGACCCTGGGTCCAGGGTGGGAATGTGCTGGTGGTGCCCATGGAGGGCAGTCACTGGCTCAGCATGAAAAAGGCTGTGCAGGAGCTCCATGCTCGGGGCCACCAGCCTGTTGTCCTTGGGCCGGAGGAGAATCTGTACATCAAAGGAGAGGACTTCTTCACCCTGAAAACCTACGCCTTTCAATATACTGCGAAAGATTTCGAAGACATCCTGAGACAACAGAGTCACTTGGTTTTTAAATCTCAACATTTTCTAAAGACATTCTTTGAAAGCATGGCGGCTGTGCAAAACTTCTCTGATGTCTATATAAAGGCGTGTGTAGACCTCATGCATAACAAAGACCTGATCAAGTATCTGAACGAGAGCTCCTTTGATGTGGTTTTAACGGACCCTGTTAACCCTTGTGGGACTGTGTTGGCTCAGTACTTGTCAGTTCCTGCTGTGTATTTTTTGCGTTACATTCCATGTGACTTTGATTTTGAGGGCTCACAGTGTCCAAATCCACCTTCATATATCCCCAGGACGCTATCAAAGAATTCAGACCACATGACATTCCTGCAGAGGGTCAAGAACATGCTGTACCCTTTGGCCCTGACGTATATTTGCCATATTAGTTTTACTCCTTATGCAAGACTTGCCTCGGAGCTCCTTCAGAGGGAGATGTCTGTGACGGATGTTTTCAGCTATGGATCTGTGTGGCTGTTCAGAGGAGACTTTGTGATGGATTACCCCAAGCCAATCATGCCCAACATGGTCTTCATTGGGGGCATCAACTGTGCCAAGAGAAAGCCAATCAGTCAGGTCTGTATTGATGCCCTCTCCCTATCACTGTTCCTGGCTTACTTTCCAGCCTGTACCGATGTTATCAATCTTTCTACTGACATACCAATCATTTCCCTTTCATTCTTCGTCAGTTGTAAGTGGTTCAAGTGTCAACAGTAATGCAGTAGACCACCTTTGGCATGGTCGCTGAGAGGAATGAGGGGCGGGTTGGAGGTCCATGACTGACAAACACTGGTATTCCTCAATCAAGAGTGACCCTTTGTAAAGGCACTGGCTTCAGAGTTGTGCAATTTCCTTCGCTTTGTAGACCAAGGGACTGAGTGGTAGAACTGATCCATCTGGGGTTTCTTATTAGTGTTGAAGGTGGAAGGAATGAGCAAATTGCCCCTGTTCACCAGTGTGTTTAGAGGAGATGTGATGAGAGAGGACCTAAGAACTCGAAGTAGAAGCTCCAAAGAGATTAGTTAAGTTAAATGAAGGTGAGACTACCCCAAGTGTGACAACTGGGGTCCTTTGATCAGAGAAAGAAAGAATGGCGTGTGTCATTTCAAAGGTGGAATTTTTCTCACAGGGTGTTACCTGCCTGGGACTTGGTGCTCGGTGCAGAACGTGGGGAGATACTAGATTTGGGATGGCATTATGAAGGTTGCATGTCATGTGAGCCTTTTATGGAGCATGCTGAGATCATCCACAGTTGGTGCTAGGCTTCAGGGTGGAGGAGATAAAACTGTGAGCCTATGAACTCAGTGAAGGCAGAGAGACGGATGAAGGGAAGTTGACTTAAAAGGGAAAGGGCTTGTTAGGAGGCGCTGTCAATAATCACATAATATCCATATGCCTGCGAGGAAGACCACTTAATAAGACTATGGTTCAAATGTACATGCCAACTACTACAACCAAAGATGAAGAAATTGAAAATATTTATCAACTTCTTAAGTTTGAAAATTATCAAGCATGTATTAAGGATGCATTGATAATTACTGAGGATGGGAAAGTGAACGATGGAAGCAAAGCTAACCACAGGTCAATGATTTGAACCCACCAACCACTCTGTAGGAGATGAATGCATAACATCACAAAGATTTAGAATTCCAGAATGTAGTAAGCTTATGTAGTATGTGTACATAGATCAACAGGCAGTTGTTCAAACAGAACAAGGAGACTGCACATGGTTTAAAATCAGGAAAGGTGGACATAAGGCTTATGCCCTTTCTCCCATACTTATTCAATCTGTAAGCCGAGCAAATAATCTAAGAAAGTGGACTGGAGACAACACGAATGGAGCTTTAACACTTGCAATGTGCAGATGACCCAAGCGAAGAGGGATTGACCCACTTACGATACAGTATGGATCCCATCTCAACACAAAGAAACACAAACTTTCTCACAACTAGACCAATAAGTAACATCATGATCAATGGTGATAAGTAGAAACTTGTCAAGGATTTCATTTTACTGGGATCTACAATCAATATCCATTGAAGCAGCAGTCATGAAATCAAATGAGGCCTATCTGGGGCAAAGACTTATTTGAAGAATTGAAGAGTAAGAATGCCACTTTGAGGACTAAGGAGCACTGATACATACCATGGTATTTTCAACTGCCTCACATGCAAAAGTTAGACAATGAGTAAAGAAAGCCAGGGAACAACAGAGGTTATTTGCATTATGGTGTTGGTGAAGAATATTAGACTGCCAGGAAGATTGAAAACCGGTTAGAAGTAGAGCCAGAAGATTCCTTGAAAATAAGACTGCTTGACAAGATGGGGCATGTACTTTGGACATGTTATCAGGAGGGAGAGGGACATCAAGACTCGGTAAAGCAAAGGGCCAGTGAACAAAAAGGAAGATGGATTCTTACAGTGGCTCCAACAACTGCTTCAAACATAACCATAGTGCAGATAGATGTATGCAGGGCTGGGCAGTGTTTTGTCCTGTATGCAAGATTGGCGTTGGAGCCAACTTCATGGCACCGGAACAACAAAAAATGCCACAATTTACTTATTTCAGACCACTGCTATTGTTAATTAATGTTAACATACTCCTATCTTACATGAATCTAAACCCACGGTGGTCAAATCAATTCTAACGACATGAACTTCATAGGCTTTTCAAGGCTGTAATCTTATGGAAGTCAATTGCCAGTGGCCTTGCTGGGTGGATCCGAACGGCCAACTTTTCGTTTAGTAGCTTAGGGCAAAGCACTTGCGTCACCCATAGACACCGTAATGTCTCACTAACTAAAACATTTGTACCCCAATGATTTGGAAAGGGACAGTCCAGGCTTCTGCGGAAAACATTTCGTTCTAAACCCGTCCAATAATCACCGCCTGCCTTGGTATAAGTTACGTTTAATTAACAGCTAGTTGCATACAGCAGCTATTCCCAACCGTTTGGAAGACATACACGAGTCCGACTCATGAGATCCCCAAAGGCACGACAACGAGGCGATGTGCATGAACTGTTTATAAATTCTTGAGTACAGTTGTTCTGAAAGTAGAGAGTTCAGTACAACTTTCCAAAAAAGAGAAAACTGAATACCCCAACAAAGTCCCCCCCGCCCCCCAGAGTCCTGCTATTCCTTAAAAGGCGATTTAACGTCAAAGGTGGGCCGGAATTACGGGGTGTCAAGGTGCAACAACTGCGGTTTGCCATTGATGCTCAAGGACTGCAGTCGGCCGTCCTCTTCCACCTCGACCCTTTCTTGGCCGTTCTCGATGATTCTCTTGGTGGTAATACTTTTGCCGTTCAGTATCTCCGTGGTCGTGGACACGGACCTGAAGTTGCTGGCCCCACCACTACCGCAGGACATGGAGAAGGAAGACAGGCCCCCGCCTCCCAGGGAGCCGAAGGAAGGTGGCCCGGTGCCTGACGAAAAGAAGCTGCCCCCGAACGCGGGAAGTTTGCTGAAGGTGGAGAAGAGGGAGGCCGAGCCTCTGCTTCTGCTTCCCCGGGAGCTTCTCCGACTCCCGAAAATGTTCTTCAGCGGGTCTCCGAATAAGTCGAAGGAAAACGGGTCCCTGCCCCCGAAGAACTCCTTGAAGACCTCGGCCGGGTCGCGGAAGGTGAACGTGCAGTCGAAGGGCGCCTCGAAGGGGCCGCCGCCGCCCTCCACCCCCGCTTTGCCGTAGCGGTCGTACACGTGCCGCTTCTCGGCGTCCGACAGCACCTCGTAGGCCTCGGCCACCTGCTTGAACTTCCTCTCCGCGGCCTCCTTGTTCTCGGGGTTCTTGTCCGGGTGCCACCTGAGCGCCAGCCTCCGGTACGCCTTCTTGATGGCCTCGGCCGACGCCTGCCGGGGCACGCCCAGCACCTCGTAGTAGTCCTCCATGCTGGGCGTCGGGCTGGCCACCCGCGCTGGGCAGCCCCGGGCCAGGGACTGGGGAGCCACCGCGCAGCCCGACTGCTGGGCGCCGCCCCTTGTGACGCAGGCGGCGTCTCATTGGTCGAGGGCCCTTGGAGTCCACGTCCCAGAATGCAGTGCGCCCCGGGCGAGCTCCACTCCGGGGGGGGGAGGGGGGCGCGGCTGGCCAATCACGCTCACGGCAATGGTCCCGGCCCCGCCCATCACCGACCCCGCCCCGCCCCGCCCGCCTGGCGCACCTGCCAGGCCCGAAGTCTTCAAGGAAAGTAGCAACCATGGGTCTTAGGTGGGACTTGTAAGGAGCTCTGGTGGCCATGGCTACTGCCCACCAGCTACTCCACCGGAGGAAGTTGAGGCAATCTGCTCACATAAAGGCTCACATAAAGGCTTACAGACTGGGAAACCCACAGGGGCAGTTCGACTCTGTCCCAAATGCTCGAGATAGGGTGGACTCCATGGCCATGGGCCTTTGGGTATTGGGCCTGGAAGGAGGCCTGGTTGCAGATGAAGCACGAGGCAGCCGACTGAGAGCTTCGAATCTTCCCAGCAGCTCCTGGGGCGAAGGACCTGTCAGCGTGCAACTGTAAAGATGCCAGCCCAAGAGACTGTGCCCTAGCTATTGGGTGGCTCCAAATTGGAACCGACTTGGTGTGGCTGCCATGGAAAATGGCTTGCTTAAGCCCGCTTGCTCATGGGTCCATTGTGATGCATCGAGACCCTATAAAAACACTCAAATTCAAACTCACTGCCACAGGTGGATTCCTACTCAGAGACCCTCAGTAGCTCTCTCTAGTTCCTGGCTGCACAGAAGTGAGCCGGGTTCTGTTCTCAGTTTTGCATTCAATTGGGCTGTCTCTGGAAGATTCCACTATGCATTCTGGGAAAAGGGGCTCGGAAAAGGCAAATGATTTAATTATTGTAGAAATGATTTTCACGTGGCAGGACCCCCCTCCCCTTCCAATCTTAGGGACGAATTCTAGTGTACCCTGGGCCATCCTTTGAGAATCTCTGGTCTAGGGTGTTAAAATCTGCTGACCGCGTTGGGCCACTAGCCCTATGGTCAGCAATCTGAACCACCAGCCTCTCAGTGGGATAAAGACTTCACAGCCTCTGAAATTCACGTGGACAGTTCTCCCCTGTCCGATAGGGTCGTTAGGAGTCCAAGTGGACTCAGTGGCAGTGAGCTTGGTTTGGTTTTGGTGACTAAACTTGGGGTGCACCGATTTGGTTCCCCCAAATCTTTACTTCCATCTCGCTGTTCATCTTAGCATTTCTTGACATCTGCCAAGAGAGCCGATGTCCTGGCTTCTGCTCGGTGTGTTTTGCTTATCACTCCCTTTGATGCAATATTCTCCTCTTTGATAAATTGTGAGGCAACAGCGCTTCCGGGTCTTAGTTCAGAGAGGCAAATGATTAACCAGCGAACTTTCTGACATTCGTCATAAAAGGTAGTAGGTCTGAAGGTGGTGCTTGTCTTCCAGGAACAAGTGATTGACTCTCTGTACCTGGAGGGAACGAACTGACCATGGGCTTGGCACGCGGCCGGCAATCAGGACTTCGGTCCTGCGTGAACTAAGTGAAGTGGGAAAGTAGAGGTGTGGGTGTTCGTGAGGGGCAAGTGGGCTGGAATGATTGTGGGCGGCGGCGGGGCAAAGGAATCAGGCCAAGGAGGAGGGCTAGACAAGAGTAAGGAGTGTGGCCGGGTGGGCTGGGGAGCCCCTCCCAGGGACTTCTAGAGGCAAAGCTAGGGAGTTTGGATTTTATTGGAAGCTGTTGGCTAAGGCTGCAGCCATGTTGGTGGGGTGGGGTAGGACTGGGGACAGCTGATGGATTGAATCACAAAGGGCAGCGGGGGAGGGGCTGAGCCAATGATTCAGGTTGATGCTCTGAGCTCCTGAGATAGGACCCTGGCAGCGTCTTCTGAAAGCCCGCCCTGGAGGAAGGATCTGCATCCCGCACTTGTTAGACATGCGGGATGCAGATCTAACAGAGGGCAAAGGGCAGTGAAGTCACATGCGCACGGAATGGGATGCTGAGGGAGGGTCTGCTGTCCGCATAACAGGGAGGCGGAGGCTGAAAGGAAGTGATTGGGAGCTGAAATCAGTTCTCCCGTCTCCTAGCAGAGACCCGTGTGCACACTGCTAACATTCACTGCCATCGAGTCCATGCTGACTCACAGAGACCCTACAGGGCCGGGTGGAACTGCCCCTGTGAGTGTCCCAGACTGACTCTTTCTAGGAGTAGAAAGCTCCATCTCTCTCCCGTGGAGCGGCTGGTAGCTTCGAACTGCCAGTCTTGCAGGTAGTGGCTCAACATATAACCACTGTGCCACCCGGCTCCTCAAGCAGGACAGAAGGGAGCCTCAAACGAGGACGTGGGCCCATGTGGGTGCAAAATGCCATAGAAGAGCAAGGGAGGCAACTTGACTGCCCATCAGAAGGCCCCTTCGATTATCACGAGGGCAGTGGACTTGTGGACGCTGTTTCTTTAGTAATGACCAGCTCTGAGGGGCTGGGAGTCAACAGGACCCTCCTCTAATAGGGATCAGCACAGCATTGGCTCCCGTGAGAAGGAGAGGAAAGATGTTCCAGATGTCCAGCTTCTCCACATTGCTGGATGACTCCCTTCTCTCTAACACCAGCTCTCTCCCTCTCCTCCCCACAGCACTCCCCCTCCCGTCTTTGGGGACCAGGGTCCTTGCATGGAATCCTCCAACCATACTGACAGTTTAGTGGTCTACCAGAGAAGGAACAGAAACAACTCAGGACGCACCCCCACTGTCGGGCCATCTTCTTCTCACATTCTGCCACCAGGCCTGGCTGAGGGTCTTCTTGGGCAAGAGCTGGAACGCTTGCTTCTGGATGGGCAATCAAGCCCACTCCAGCCTCTGGTCCCCACACTCTTGCGCTGCTGCTGCTTGTTACGGCTGAACCGCCCTCGTCCATTGTCTTCGGTGATACAGCGTCTCTTGGTCATGCCTCCTTTTGACGCTCCCAACCCCAAACCAAACTCACCGGCACGGAGTCGATTCCAACTCACAGTGACTCTCGAAGACGGGGTAGAACTGCCCTCGTGGCTTTCTGAGACTGTCACTCTTGAAGGGAGTTGAAGGCCTCCTCTCTCTCCCAAGAAGCGACTGGTGTTTGCACCTTGCGGACCAGTGTGATTAGTCGTCCACCATGCCACCGAGGCGCCTCCCCGAAGCCTAGGGATGGCAAAACAGACCAGTCCCCTCATCAGGGTTTCATTGACCTTATTTGCATAGTTCTCCCCACACAAGGATGCCAGGCACCATCTTGACACAATTAGCAAACTATCCAATCCCTTTGGTGGGCCACAGCACCTCATTTGCATAGTCCTACTCCATCATTTGGTGGGAGTTACAAAGACTAGAGTGAGCTAGAAGGACCATATTAAGTACCTAACTCGCTGTCCTGCAAGGGGAGTTGGAGCAGTGGGCTCTTTGCTGGTTTCATTATAAAAAGAGAGTGCTTCTTTAATTTGGAGCCAGAAAAGTTTCATGAAGGCCCAAGTCTTCAGTAGTTCCCAAAGCCAGACCACGTAGCTGCTGTACTCATAGGATGTGTCTACCACGCAACAGAGCCCCAATATTATCTGGTTGTGAATTTTTCATTGTTCACTGGACAGCCCTTGAAGGGTAGGGGAGATTTCTACCTCAGTTTTCCAGCATCAGTTCTCAGTGCAGTTGCCTGACACTACACACAGTAGCGTCCACATTTTCAGCAACCGTTTGGGGAATGTGGGCACTAACTCTGGATTTTAAGTGTTCGATTTTAGGGGCAGGAGCTGTATTAGATGGAATAGTAATGGTTCTCAGGTGTCATAGTGAGAGTGGAGGCAGGTTGCCTGCTAGTCTGATTGGAACCATTCAGCTACACAGTGTCTTTGGCACGTTTGGAAGGTTGGGGGTGTTTAGAGGCTCTGCGTGATGCTGAGAAGTTGTATAATCACAGGAGTGACAGTGCATATTTGCACTCCCTTTGCCCTGTGTAATCTGCCAACGAACTCTCATGGCATCCAGACTTTGGAAGAGATGTGGCCCCTGATGTTTCAATTAGACTTTGAATTTCAGAATTGCAGATAAGAGTGTGCCAAAGACCAAAACCATTGCTTCGCTCACCCCAGAATCAGGTCATAAGGAAAGAGTGCTGGAGGGGAGGAGGAACTTGGGGGTGCATGCGTGTGTGTATGCCCACATATCAGCACATACAAGACTGGGCATCTTTTGAGGAGGGCTGCTGGTTCAGGGGAAGGGATTCCACGTACTACTCTAGGTACCTGAGAGAGAACTCACTGCCATCTACTGGATTCCAACTCACAGTGACCTTGTAGGACAGAGTAGAACTGCACCATGAAGGGTCCCGAGGCTGTGAATCTTCATGGAAGCAGATTGTTTTCCTTTTGGTGTAGCCCCTGGGTTTGAACTGTTGACCTTTGCATCAGCAGCCCAATGCTTAGCACACTGTACCACTGGGGCTCCATTTCCTACAAGAAGGAACCCCGGCGGGTGTCGTGGTTATGCATTGGGCCGACATATGCAAGGGCAGCAGTTTGAAATGACCAGTGGCTCCTCGGGAGAGAGACTGGGCTTTCTACTCCTTTCTACTCCTTTCTACCAGTTATAGTTTTGGAAACCCACCAGGGGTGCCTATGAGTCATCATTGGCTCCATAGCAGTGAGTTTGTTTGTCTTTTTTAATAAAAGAGAGGGTTCTGCTTACCACCGAACTACCATGACACCAACTGCCGGTTGCCACGGAGTGGGTGCCAACGCATGACCTGCCCCCACCCTCCACCCCACCCCACCTCCGCCACGAGTGTCAGACCAGAGCTGCGCTCCACAGGATTTTCGTTGGCTGATTTTTCAGAAAAAGAGACTCAAATCTCAAACCTTCTTGTTAGAAGGCAAGGCCAACTGTTTGCACACCAAGGGACTCCAAAGCCTTT